ACCCAAACCCTTCTGGGATTCTATGAAACTGTCCTTCTTGGAGAGAAGGAAGGTACAAAGAGGGGAAGCTTTCAGGAGGACATCAAGCGGGTCTGTAAATTCCTCGCTGTTTTCCAGTCAAATGTGTCCCTTTCCAGAAAAAAAAAATACGACAATATTTAGTGAGCTAATGAAATTCACCACCAAGCAGTGATATTCAACTGCATCAAGCACATCTGAACAGTCACCCAAAGTCGTTTTCCAAGTTGTTTTCAGCTTCAGTTCTTAACTCATTATTGTTTGGCAAAATATTTTTTCCTATTGCACATGGATTTAATTAAGACACGTATTAAACATGACTTGGAATTTTTTACATGTGTGCTAAGCCACAGAGCACTTGCATCCCTTACAGCGAACATCCAACAGTCTCAGAGATCAGAGCAAGTACTTCAGTTGAATGCAGGAACTAAAATAGTAACTGTCAGTCTTGGGGGGCACCCCTCATTTTCTTTTTTAGAAAGTCCTCTATGAAACTATATTAAAGATCTGAACTTAAGAGTTCCTCCGTCTGTCACAATTTGAAGTAAAACCCAATTTAAAACCTACTAGTGATCCGGGCAGCTGAAGGAACATTGTTTAACCTGTAAGTGTTTGTTACAAATCCATCAAAGCGCACTCCACTTGGGTAGTAAACACACCAAGTTGCACACAATTTCCTTCCTCACACAGAATAATTTCTCTCTAGGATAATAACCAAGACAAAGGCATTTCTACTAACTGCAATTTTGGTTTTAATTTGTGTCACCTGCTTCAGCCTCCTTGCAGCTTTCCATAAGTTGACCTCACAGTATGCATTCGCTGAGCTGTGCATTGGGAAACACTGCAGATGCTGAAATCAGGCTTGTAAAGCAATTCTCTGCAAGTCGGAATGCATAAAAGCTCCCAGGCACAAGACTGGAAGTTATTTGTGTTTTTCATTTCATAAAGTCACGAGTGGGGGGGCTAGATGGAGAACACGGCGATCAGATTTTACTCTGCCAAGACGACATCATAAAACCCACACTTACTTCAAAGTGAAATCCTTCTTTAAGCGCAATTGCCCTCAAAATTTTCGAGGAGACTGTGGTCGCTAACATGTAAACATTCTTCACATCAGCATCTTCGGAGCAGTTTTCCTTCCAGCAAGAAAACATCCACCACCCAAACAAAGCTGCTAGCTCGTTGCCAGTGAACACCTTCCAGCAGCCACTGCAGACAGGACAGAAAGTGTAAGAGCTCTTTCAGGTTTCCAGGAGCATCCACGCAGGGGGAGAGGTTTTCTGCAGTCAGCGGAACAACAGGAATCTGAGCACATGGACAAGCTGCTCTATACAAAGCCACTGTACTACCAGGACTCGACATTTCCCACATCTCAATGATTTACAAGCCCTGTACGTTCTGTTAGCAAGCAAAGATACCAATGAAGTATCCTTACTGTCACCTCTCAGAACAGCTGAGGTCTTTGGAAGTTCTCAAGCAGAAGTACAGCAGTCTCTACAGTCTATACACTGCAGTCAGGCAATGCCTGCACAGCCACGCATTATAGACGGTTACTTACACAAGGGTCAGAATTTTGCCCTGTTAGTGGGAGAAAAATAATTTCTATTCAATAGGAAAAAGCCAGGGGAAAACCAAACCAAACAAAACAAACAAAAAAAGCCCGCAACAGCTAACTGTCCCAAGGCAGAATTTGTTTGCCTAACAGAAGTGAAAAAACAGTAACAACAAGATTTTACTGCCTTTAGGAACCACTCTTCAGTTAAATTTTATTTGGCCATTGACTGTAACACTGGCAAGCATTTAATCTTTTCCAAGTTATTAGCTACTTTTATTTAAAATATACTATTTCAAGTGGAGCTATACCAAAAAGATGAAGCTAGCAAGAAAAATACTCAAATAGCTAAGTCACAACAGGAAGGAGTGGGTTGAAGGTGCGTGCCTGTCTAGCATTTGGGGACATCCTGCAATTTTCGCTACCTCTTGCACAGAAAAGAGATAAAATAGAAGGTCCCGTCACTTACTTCTCCTGCTGTTCTGCCACTGCTAGTCTGTCTGCGTCCGGATCAGTAGCCACCACTACTCTAGCATTTTCTTTCTCTGCAAGCCTCAGTGACAACTCCTGGTGGGAGGAGGTGGGAAAATAATCACACAATCAAATAAACCCAGAGTTTTATTTCTGAATTACATATAACATGCAGCTAAGAAGATCTCGTATGAACTGCCCGCTGTATTAACAAAGCTGAAAGCCAGGTACTCTCTGTTCCCTTCCCCAACTTGTTTTTTTGATCACAGTATTGTATCCAAAAAGAGGAAAGCCCGTAGAAATACATAAATCTGATAGAAGTAGAAACAAAAATACCAGCACGGATTCTCCTTCTTCAGGATTTGGACATTTGACAGTAGAGAAGTCTGGATCTGGATCTTTTTGTTCAGGTACTGGAATAGGGGGCTGAAAGCCAAATGCTTTGAAAGCCGACTGCACATAGTCGTGTCCAACTCCATGAAATGAGGTATGAACAAACTTCAAATTTGTTTGCATGTTTAGCTCCCTGAGAAGGAAAAACGAATTTCAGTAAGATTTGAGTTATTTAATGAGACTACTTTCATGTGGGAAAGCAAAAACAGAAGAAACTGCAATTACACTTTGCACTATTCTGTGGATTTCTGCATTAATTTCAAAGAAGGAATAAGTGAACAGTGCTGGTTTGGACTTTCACTAGAAATTGCTGGTTTAAGCTTCTTCTCCCAGAAAATGAGATTTTTACCTTCTGCTGAATTGGCTGAAAGTCTCCCAAGAATGAACTGCTAATTTCTGCATCAAACTCAAGCTCTTCCACCATCCTGAAGATCTTACTCTGCCTTTACTCTACCTACGTTATTCATCCTCCTCCTTTTACTCGTCTTCTGCCCCAGCTAACCTTTAATCTTCTCACCTCTGTTCCATGCATGCACACCTCAGCTTTACTCTGAATTTCTGCATTTGATTCGGAACTCTTTGAGCATACTCATAAAAAGGTTCACATCAGGGTGCTTTACTGTAGCCTGCCGTCCAAAGGCAGGCTGCTTTATTGTCACCAGTATGGGTTGGTCCTAACGATGGTGACAGTCCCATTTAGTGCCACATCAGAGAAGGGATGGGGTGAGACAGACAGGGGAGGTGAAAGTTATTCCCACCACGGAGAGCACAACAGTGCAATGGCCTCAGGCAGACAGTGACGCCTGCGGCAGAGCGGAGCACCCAGCTCCTGTGAACCGCAAAGACAGAAACCAAGTCACTGCTTTGTGATGACAAAAGTCACTGCAGGCAGGTCCCAAAACTATTAAAATTTTGGAAGACAGCCCAGCTCCTATACCCAAATCAAAACCATTTCTGTGTGGCAGCATCGCATGCTTTATTAGTGAAGTTTATCTGTCAGCACTCGATTTTCCACATGTAACCCATGGCTTCCTTAAAAATACAACTTAAGTACAATTTGTTTTATGCAATACCTGTGATAACAGATCTTCTTCAGATCCTCCATGTAACGGTCACAGATTTTCTTCAGAGGATCCTGTCTAAGTGGACTGGTGTCTACTAGATTCTCATTCCAAGAGCCATTCCATGGTTCAACACATTCTTCTATACATTTTATAATTTCCTTATCGTGAGGAGAGGTGATCTGTGCTCCATTTTCCCAATAAACCTGGGATAAGTTTAAGGAAAACAAGATACAGTTTATTTAAAAGATTATCAACTTCAGAAATTGTTTTAGCTATAGGATTCCGCATACTTCCTGCTTCTTGAAGTCACACAGAAAAGTCTAGTGTCAGACTGTCTGGATTCTCAAACATCATCTGGGATTGTATATTTTACAGCTTTAGTTATGCACTGAAAGCTACTCAGCAACACAACCTGTTTTCAAAAAAGCTGGTATTCGGCTATTATGACTAAAACCATCAGGACGTGAGAAACTGAAACTGGGCACTTACATTTCAGAGTGTTGTGCAAACTGCAAAAGAAGAAAAACATTACCTTCCACACAGTCTGGCATTCCTTTGGAAAAAGCAGAACTTGCTTTTGAAATCAAAGCAGATAAGCAGCATGCCAAGGTACGTGTTTTTCTGTAACTGGACGACTATAATATTTCAGCTGTGAGCACTATCAAATCCTGAACTATAAAAAGTCTTTGTTAAAGAATTCTTTAGATGCCCATTTTCCCACAGTTTCTTTCCAACATCGTTGTTGAGTTCACAGTGCAGACTTTCTGCTCAAACCAATCTGACTCTCGTTTCTTATCCCCTGGCTTTCATTAAACCCCAAAGTACTCAGCATCTTCAGAACTCCGGGTTTGTCAAGTTTGGTTCGAATTGGCCAAAACCTTCAGAAGTTGCCGAATTCACAGAGGAAACAGTGAAAGAGAAAACAGCTCTTGTGAAAGACTAGCAAAACCAATATCCTGGCCCAAGTAAAATGCTTTTTTATCAGAAGACACAAACATAATAGCTTCTTGATAAATGAAGCACCTGGAAAACTGATGCTACTTTTTTTTCTTCTTCATTGCTAAGCAGAAGTAAAGGCTGGTGAAGTACTTTACAATTTTTTCCGCAGAGGACGAGTGTAGCACAATCGCCTCCAAGGGTTATCTCTGTGCAGAGTAAAACTGGTTTTCCTGTCACTGCCATTACTCACTGATCCGTTACTAAGCTTCTAGAATGCTAAGTTTAGTTAGAGTTTCCATTTTAGCTCTGATTCTTACAAAGTTTTGAAAGGAAATACCCTGTTTCAACACTGCACAAGCAGCATTTGCTATTATAGGTGGTTATACTGTTCTGAGCTTCCAAAATGAAGCCACCTGCCTCCCTCCCAGTGCCCAGAAAATCAACCTCACAGGGAGCAACACACTACTACAAAGTTTTATTGACCAACTCTTAAACCATCGCCATCTTCAGCACAGTCACCTACTGTGCTGACTAATTCACCTAAGTTTAAACTCATTTTTAAGTCTAAGAGAGCACATAATAAATTGCTTAAGCGTTTCTTCAGCTGCAGATTAGACTCGATGGAATGTCACAACAGAATTGTGCTCAAGACACAGAAGCCATGTGGTCTTAAGTAAGTGTGTGTAATTCAGGAGGTTATAGAGGAATTAATTCCTTGAAAACATTTTTCCTTTCAATGTACATGCACATGCTCCAGAAGCAGACAAATACCAAAGGCACGTAGGTAATATCTGTAATAATCTGGCTGTGACATGCCACGAACCTCAAGTTCAAGTCTTACCTTGTATCCGTTGTCCTCCTTCCGGTTGTGGGATGCTGTGATCATCACACCAGCCACAGCTTTGAGCTCCTGAACAGCATAGGGCTGAAAAGGAAACCCAGAAATGTCCATTTACCCAAGAGTTCCACAGCTGGCACAAACAACATCACATTGTTAGGACAGTTGTACCATAAGATGCTGCAGGAGAAGTGACTCACCAGTTCATCTGAAAATTGTATGTATGAATGCTCGTCATTCTGTTTTCTGCAGCTACTAACAGAGAGACAGCTTGTTCTACCCTGTTGTATTATTCTATTTATCAACTACACAAACCCAATTGTTAACTGGCCAACTACAGAGTCTCCACTCAGATTACTCTAGGATTTGAAATAAAGAAGGTTGAAACAGAATGAAGGAATTCACCAAAAGGCTTGTTGAAAAACAAGTTACAGGTATGTCCCGCTAAAGAGCGTCCAGTCCTTTCAGTTCTCCCCTCGAAACAAGATCCACAGCATACACAGCACACTAGAAGTGTGCAGAATACGAAACAAGGATTTAAAACTCTGCAATAAAAAGCTTCTGTGACTTGAACAAAAACCTCTATTTTTTGAGATATTAAAAGGAGAGGCAATCCTTCATTTCTTCCACTCTAAGCTGGGGAAGTCTTATGTGCAAAACCATACAGTCCCTATACACGTGTATATATTCACACACAAATATCATGGCATTCAGGTGTTTAAGCACAGGATAAAAGAACAGCAGAATGCTTCCCCTGTAACCAACAGAGCAAAGCCTGGACTGCAGGAACTGCTGCCCTCGCACAGCAGCCTGGGCCGAAATGCAATCTTGTGGACTGTCTGCACACAGGAAAAATTCAGTGACATTCTTCTTACAGCCTCCTTGAAGAGCCAAGTGTACCAAGCAGCCCCTTTTTTTCCTGTTTAAATAACAGAACTTGAGAAGAAAATTGCTAGTTCACATTTTTAGTCAACTTTTCAAATACTCCCTTAACTGCACGGTTCAACAACCTAAAAGAGAAGATGACTCACCACAAACGGCGTAGGGACGTATGTGGAAAAGAAGTACACAGGTACATCTTTAGCCAGCAGGACTGCTGCAGTGAGCTTTGCGAGCCTACCGAGATGAAAAAGAAAACATTCAGTCAGCCCAACTCCCCAGGACAATCCAACAGCCATATGGCATTACTGTAACGTTCACTTCACTTGTTTCTCAAACCCCGCTGTTGTCTTTTGGCTTACACCAGGAGCTGTGGATTCCCACAGGTTGTACAGTCACTGTAACACCCTTTTCAGGCTGTAGAATCCGAGACAGTGCTTTTATTCGTGGCTTGAAGAGCACAAGGCACTTCAGTCAACCACGTACACAGAGCAGTGATATCAAAAAACAGAGCTACAGGACCTGCTGGTGTGACACTTGTCCTTCATTCAAGGACAGAACCAGTCTCCCAGAAAGGCTAAAGTGCCAGATGGCTGCAACAGCAGGGTTGGAAAAGGATTCAGTATCCCACCCAGCAAAGCTGGTTTGCCAGCCTTGTTCAGCAGCTCCAGACAATATCTCTGAAGAAGATCAATTCCTAAAATACAGTTCTGCAAACCAGCACGCTCTTATTCCAGAAAGTTTAGAAACAGTAACAGCACTCATGCTTTTAAATCTTGCCTTTATAATCAACTTCTCTCAAGCGGCAGGGAAACTCATTCTCTTTCAGGTAACTGTTTGATATGAAAATGTTCAAGTCAGGTATAGAGAGCTCAGCAGCTAATGGGAAGTCTCACTCAAAACCGATGAGAGATGAAACGCTTTAAGTGTGCTTTGCTCGCTCATTATGACAAACAAGCATCAATACTTCCTTCCTTATCTCCCACGATGAGTATCCTGTAAGTCTAAGCTTCAGTTACTCAGAATTTCACTATAGCACCCATCAAACATAACCTGAAACCACTTAAAAGAGTTTGAGGGCTCAGCTTGCAGCTGAAGCTACTGAAATTTTCCTTGTGTATCCCAATGGTTTACACCAACTTAATTATGGGATGTAGCCGGTCTGCCACCTCCCTCGGCACCAGGCCCGATGCGAAGAAAGGGGCACTCCTACTGCTGGATAAACATGCTGGTGCAACTGCAAACATGCTTTTGGGGAGGTTCCATTTGATTTTAGCACTACTGTCAGTGTGTCATCCCAAGGGGACAAGAGGCATGTAGCTGAAAATCGATTTGTTCCTCTGACATGTGAAACACGATGACTGTGCTGCCATCAAGTCAGAATTCCAGGTTTGTGCAGCTGAAAAGGAAGGTTTTTCTTCCACTTCCATGTTTTTAAGCCGTGCATAACCCAGACAATTTGGGTCATAGCCTTGCAAATGCAGTGTAACAGACGAGTTTAAAACTCTTATGCCAAAGACTGGTGCCTGCTGTGCCGCATGTATGTGAAGGCCAGGCAGCAAGGCACGGAGAGGCGGACCCCAGGGCAACAGATAAACTCTCAGAAGACAGTCACCAGATTCCGTGCCCTATCATACCAAGAACTTTTGTATCCCTAGAATACTAAATATTGACAAGAATTTAAAAAAATAACTAAATTAGTTAAAACAATTAACTGCAATAACTACATTAACTATAATAATTATTCATTAACTAAATAATAACTAGCTACCGGCTTGGATTTTTGTAAAGCATCCCGCTACAACACGTGTTTCGCTCCCTGAATGACAAGGGACTAGGGTTCCTTACAGAACTCAGAAAGCAGTTCCTTTACAGAGCCTCTCTCCCCTTTCCTTGCAAAGAGGACAACTCTTAGTGTTCTGTATTTGCTTTCACATTCACATTTCTCTCCGGGTATATCAACTTCTTAACGTCTGCCTAACGTTCTTGTGCATGTGGACTGTAAACTCTTTGGTGAAGTGACTAGCCTTACACTCTACCGTCTGCCGGCAACCGGTACTCTAGGGGCTTTAGTCGGTGCTCTTCTTCATTACTATTTAAATGGACTAAGGGAGAAGGACCGTGTGGAGTTCATGACAAAAATATTCAGATAGAACAGAATGCATTTCAAGCCACAATTTAATTTCTAGTCTTGCAAATGTAATCAATACTCATACTTCTTACTGCTGCAGTTGCTGGTCACCTGACCTCGTGTGTCATATCCAACAACAAAGCCTCTCTGCTTAAAGTCTGAGAAACACCCCTCCAGATACTTGTAGATCCCCTGGAAAGAAAGAAAGAAAAAAAAAAAAAAAAAAAAAAAAGAAAAAAGACACCGAAGAATTAGCTCCAGCACAGCACACACAAACATTAAAAATGATCTTTCCCACAGGATGGGTAGTGTCAGTAGGCAAAATACAGCTCAGCAAAAATGTCAATAATGACAGTCACCAAAGCAGTGTATTTATTTCTCCCTGGAGTGTTTACAGAGAGAAAGAGAGCTAAGAAACAGTTGTGGGAAAGAAAAGCCATACAACAATAAGTGACCAAATAGCATAAACAGAAAGCTCAGCCTGCAAAATCCTCAAGCAGCAAACACTTGTTTTCAGTCCGTACTGTGCTTTCATGTATTCAAACCATCTTCCTAAAGACCCAGCTGAGAAAAATCCATTTTTTGAAAGTCCATCCACTCAGGCAATGTAAGGCTAGTGCCAGTCTTTATCCTTGTGCTCACAGCAGCACAAGTCAGCCACCTTTTCAGCGCTGCTTCCAAAACCTTTGTTCTACATTTGCATTAAAAGGCTGCTTCATTCCTACCCATCCTTCAAACTGAAGTTTATTACTAGTCACCTGCTCCAGGCAGACTGATTGAAGTCCTCGGTTTACACTGAGCAGATACAATAATACAAATACCAGCTGTCTTCTGCACACCAATGTAGAACATTTCCCATGGCAAGCTATCGGAGAAGATCCCCGTGCAGGGAGAAGAAAGGGGGAGTAAATTTTTAACACACATTGGGGGTGAGGAGAAATATGTGCCGAAACATACATAGGAGAAAAACGAACAGCCTCTTGGTCAGCCACCCGTTCTTTTCCAACAGGAGGAGATGGGTGCTCTTGACATGGAAGCGCTCTTGTTAACGGAGGTTTCCAGAGGCTGCACTTTGCCACAATCGGGAAGCAGCTTTCCCCAACACACACACGTCCCTGTGAACTTGCCGTAGTCAAGCTTTTCCTAAAAAGGCCACCTCTTCTGAGGGTACAAGCTTCCTCTTGATAGAAGGGGCGAGGGTGGCTTGTACTAGAATTAAACAGATTTTTCCTCCAGTATTGAGTGTAATTATTTACAATGTCCTTATCCGGATCTGGAAACTGGAAAGCTAGCCTGCCTCCCACCCGTGAGACTCAGCTGGGCTCTTTTTTTAATGGTTCTTTCCCTTTCCACCACAGACTGTGCTACGAACAAGCGGCATCTCTCTGAAGAACCATTTCAGCTGCAGGTATAGTGTTGCTATAGAGGGATCCACACAGAGAGGAAAAAGTTGAATAAAAATCTTTGAATAATGACCAAATTGGTGCTGTGCCATGGCACGATCGCCAGCCGCTGTCACCTTCACACCAAACTGAAATATGTCGATACACAAACACATTCACACCGCCCTGACAACTCTCAAGACCCTTCATTCACAGTTGTAAAGAGATGAGGGATAGAGGAACGGGGAAAACTTGATCAAGTTTGACTAGAACACATTGAATAAGATTTAAAGAGATGAAAAGCAGATTTCTTAGCAACAGATCCCTTCTTCAGGCCAGCGGTGCCTTGAGTTGAGAGCGCACTGCAGAGTTTTAGCTGAACTAGTTCTCAAACATCAAGAAACTGCACAAAAAAGGCAAAATTTACAGAAGCAGCAGGACCATTTTAAACAATCAGCTACTAGTCAGAATCAGAAAACAAACAGGGGCACAGAAACTTTTTCAGAAGCAGCGCGAACGGAGGTAAATTCAGACAGGACAACTAATAGTCCTGGCCACATAAGAAAGCCAATACATTACAAATCACTATTTACAAATGAAAACACGATTTCTATTCCACACCTACCCCCCAGGAGCTCTCCCTTGGCTGCAGAGGCATCCCTTGAACTTTCTGGCAACGCTGGCATCTCTGGGATTCTGCACATCCCATTTCTTCCTCACCCCAATGACAGCCATCACAGCTGGGTTGGCTTTTTGGCTCCAATGTCGGCACTCTCACACATCCCCCAGCTTTCCCTTTCCTCACACCTCAAACACCGAACAACTCAGTTATTTTTGTTGCAAAGAAAGGGCCCACACTGATCTTTTTAGGAGATTTGAGCTTCTGCTCCTTCTCCCCTGCACCTCAGCTCAGCTATTCCTGCCAGAGCATTTCTGGCAGCTATTGGGTGCCACTACACTCTCCTCAAGGGCGAGGTGAGATTTTTTTCCTAGGACATTCTCTTAAACCAGCTTCACTGCTTGACAGGGATCAAAGTTTTCCTATTAATAAAAATCGGAATGTCTTTACTTTCTGCCATGCTTAAAATCAAGACAACACAATATGCAATACAAGAACAAAATACCTTAAGCTGAGCCAAAGATCCCACAGCTGAAATCAGTCCAGCCCTACAGGACATGCTTACTACCCAAATACCTCTGTTAAAGCTTCAGGAAATAAAAATAAATCAAAAAATGACAGTGAGAGGAAGTGAATGCAGAGTCTCTCTACTATCTGAGCCCTCTACTCAAGTTCACACTTATTTTCTTCCAGGGGTCGTTCTCCCTTTCTCAGAGGGCAGTTAGGAACTCCAGCACCTCTTGGGATGAGTCCTTTCTTTATGAGTTTCTCCATTTAAAGAATTCCTATTTCCTTTTTACAAGACTTACATTTTGATCATGTCCTCATCTAATTTCTCCTGGGATAGCTACTGATTCTAAATTGAAGATATCAAAGTCAACATCTTGCCATTCTATATTTGGTGATAATCAGCAAGTTACTAGCAAGTGTCACCACACAAATGTATAACCACCTCAGTGGATCTAAACCAAAATTCTCTGTAGGTGCACTGAAGTATTAGAAATATTTGTACCACTGCACAGTTCAGGTCAAAAAATTCTCAGACAGATCTAGTCTGCTTCCACAGCCCTGCTTTAAAATAACACTCTTGCAATCATAATAATCAATTTCAAGAGAGAACTGAGGGGAAAGAGATTATATCAAGAACAGGATGGAAAGATTTTTGGTTGATGAAATCGAGAGGGACAATAACAGCTTTATGAAGTTTGGTATTTCAATCTGTCAACTATTATCTTTAGCTTTGCTTATATGGCAACAGGAAACTCACAGCAACGACGCAAAGATGTCTGGTTTTGTCATCGGGGAGGTCAGCAAGGGGTTACTTGCCTATTAATAAAAGCAATTGGCTCAGCAGGAGAGAAGCAACATTGGAGCAGGAAAATCTGGGCTCTGTGTAGGTGGCATAGCTACAACCTTCACAAGAGTCAAAGCAACTTCTGGATACTCTGTACCTTTCGTGATACGAATATAATCGTGCAAATGAAGAACCCAGCATGCACTTAAGCATGCAACTTAACTAAGGTTTATTTTAACAGGAGGATATATTTCAATGGCACTTAAGTCTACTCTTTGTGAAAGGCCTGCAGTAGGGCAGGACAAACACAGCGAGACAGGGTTGCCCGTTTTCAGATCAGGTTCAGCACTTAGCTTCTGAAACACGTGTACTCAAACAAAGAGATTAAATCTCCTGCAGTTTACTTCAGGAACAAGTTTTAATCTGCTTCCCAGAGATTGCTTTTTTCTAACTTGATAGATGGTTTTAATAAACAACTAAAAATAGAAGCTCTACGCAGGGAGCAAACGAATACAACCCAGTTTGTTTCTTTCAGAAACTGGTAATGCCCATGAAACTGAACTGACAAACACATTCCCTGCTGACCAAAACGAAAAACATTTCACTTTCTGCCAAGAATGCGTATCAGTCAGCTGATCCAAGCTCAGTCACGCTTTCACGAGACTGGAAACACAAAGGCAGCGTGCAACGTTCAGGCACCCGAGCATCAGCGACTCTGAATTCAACCGGCTGTGCTGGCCAGAAAGTGAAGTGACTATTGTTAACTTCCTCTGCATTACCGAGATGTTTACTCTGCTTCAAAGAAAAGTGGACTTATTCAAAGCAACTTTGCTACTCTAAACAATTCCACCACTGGCAACAAACTACTAGTTTAAAAACAATTTTTTTCTTAATCTCTTCAGCTCGTTCCCACCAGATCAGTGGACGCCCCCGGTACCACATCAGCAGGTTTTGTTCACACCATTACATTGTTTGTAGCAGTGAGTTTGGCACACTCAGATCAGTAAGGCTGGAATTAAAGGAAGCATCATCCTAAGATGTGTCCGGTTTACAGGTCAGAAACCTCACAAAAACTTTGTTAGACCCAAGATGATGCTGAAGAGAAAAAAAGGTCAGATAAGGTTGGGTTTCAAACCCCACCAATACACTCCAACATGTCACTTCTTTTCAAAGGCTGTATCGGAATTTGGTTTCACCGCAAGAGTCTGGGCTCCAGTTGTACAAGTCAGACATCAGCAGCATCAAAGAGCTGAACAGAGCCCCAGTTGTTCCAAGTTCTAAGCACACCACTTACTCTGAGCCAATCCAAAACAAATCATTTCAGGCGTGTCTGCTGAGGGACTTCTATTAGAGCGTTAACCTGCAGAGAGACAGCTATTCTGAAATGTTGCAGTACACAGTACGAAATGAGAGATTTTATCAACCCTCTGTAAATCACGTAATAAAACACCTTTTATCATATGGCTGAAGCTCCGCTTATAAAAAAAGCACTTGACAAAGTAGGTAAGGCTCAGTAGGTTTGTCAGAAGGGAAACTTTCTTGATGTTCCAAGGACAATGGTTACAAACATTTCAGTTCATTATATTTTCAGTAGTCAAGACTAAAGGTGGGAACAGATAAGATGTTTAAGTATATTTAATATACCCAGTCCCAAGCCACTTGTGTTTTACATCTTCATAAGGAAAGCAAGTATGGAACATCCATTTTCTGACTCGTGCTATTTGCTTTCAAAAGGATTCAACACTTCTCTTTCCTTGCCTCCCACTACCTTCACTGAGGCGAGAGAAAGCTGTATTATGCAGATGAAGAATCCAACTGGTTTTTAATATTCACCGTAATAAAGTATGTGCAACAATGACTACCAAAGTCAGGAATTATAGTTGGTACAGGACTACAATGCTAGATAAATCAAATTCAAATTCAGACTCTTCGGTCACATGCTCAAAGTCTGGATAATATCAGATCAATTTCCAATGTACTCTGAATTAATTTCGTATGAAGTTCAGTTGTGAAGGGTAGCTTAGTTCACTTGTTTTGAGGAAAAATTGGTAAGAGAAACACAGCAGCTGAAAGGCACTCTGGTACTGTACAATGAGCAAATTTAAGAAAAAAATTCACTATGAGACAGCAATACAGAAAAGGAGCATGGATCACTTCTCATCAAAAACTAAATCAGCATCGACTGTTCCTTCCAACAGTGTTCATCAAAAAGGTGGAGAAAGAAATGAGACAACTGGGGATCAAGTTCTTTGAGAAAGTACTGCCCTCGGTATCATCTGCCCTCGAACAAAACAATATTTCAAAGAAAAACACAGAGGGTTAAGCCTTATATTCATCAACAGGTTGAGTTATTTGGACAATCAGCACAAATACAACTCACTAACATTGCTTGAAGACAAGCGGGGAGGGAAACTGAGAAGAATCCGATCATCTTCCCAGTCCTCTTCTAGCAGGCAAGACCAAAATCAGAGGAAAAAAGGAGGGTGCAAGATGTTGAAGAAACAAGTCCAGAGAGTTGCATTTCTGGTTGTTTATCAGCTTAGCTAGTCAGAAGATGTGTCAGAAGTGAGGAGTCTCTGCCACCAGTCTTCCCCCCACAGCACCGACACCGTTCATGTCCCCATCCCAGCCTCCATCCGCCCCTCAACTCCACGTACCAGCTTCTGTGTCCTTCTAAACGCACAGCCAGCACCCCACCAAGCACAGCCTGAGCTCTGGCAGAGGAGCAGGAACTGAGGACTGAAGCCTCGCTGCCCAAAAGGTTACCCCACACGCACACCCATCCCATCAGACCCTGGCCACCACCACTAATAACAGCCATCCAAACGGCAGCCAAGAGCTACATCTAGGTCCCGAGATCTCCCTGCCTCTATTTAAATCAAGAAGTCCATCCCAAAATACCCTACTTCAAAGAACCAGTCCTCAAAAAGATCAACATCTGTTTACAATGTTTTCTTAACAAATTATTCTGTAATGATCACTCTAACCCAAACACAGACATTAAACCACAGATAAACCCCGCATCACTGACTCTCATTAAATATGTAACTGGAGATTTGCAGGTTGAGAGGTTAAGATCCCATCTCAAACTGCTTTCCTGCATCTCTACTTTAAAAAGTGCCAAGAGCCACAGACAGAGCTACAGTAATGCCAGCATGCTTAACCCCAGTATTTTCCACAACTACCCAGTCCAGTTGTAGGTAACGTGACCAGTGTTACTGGAAGGATTCCCAGGAGTTAAACCACTTACAATACAGATGTTCTTCACACTCGGTCTGCGTTTGCTTCTTCATCCTACTTCCTGTTCATCTGCTGAGTAAAACCTGCTAGTTTTGTAGTTATTCACAACTCTGGCTACAAGATGAAAGAAAAGGCTTTTTTTTTTAATTGGGTGTGGGTCTGCTTTTTGGGTTTTCTCATTGGTTTTTTGTTTAGTTTTTGACAAATACTAAAAGTCCTTACGACAGCTGAAGATTTCCAACTCAGCACACTATAACAGACTTTAACTACTGGCCAAATTCCAGTGGAAGTGATGATATTCTTCCTCCTAGGATGTCCAGTTAAACCTGTTCAAGCTACTTTATTTTCTTTCTGCACTAAACATTTCACGCTATCGCTCTACTGTGTGTTTCATCCTCAGTGGTGCACTATACGACCCAAACACGTCCTGTGAAGCCATTCAGTCCTCTCCTACACAACTACGCAGCTTACCTGTGTCGACTGGATCACTGTAAGGTCATTAATGTAGCAAAAGCCTGCTCCCATGGCAGAGCGAAGCCCCGCGGTCCCAAAAGTCAGCCTGCAGCAGAGACGATCCCGTAATTCTTTATGCTTTCCATTCTGTAACAAGTTTTCAATCTGTTCTTTTGTTTTCTGGTTCTGCAAAAGAAGAGGAAGGTCTTCGTTTAGTTCTTGAAATCAGGATCTGAACTATACGCTCACTTTAACTCCCATTTCTATAATATTCTCACTTCTGTATCATCCGTATTTACACGCTGATGTGTTTGCCTACTCACTAATACCCCTTCCAGCTACACAAACCTGTAAGTGAGGAGCACAGGCTTTACAAGAGGTTTTTCCGAGGCAGGTAGCCCAAGTTGATCTGTGCTGCTGGAAGACAGACAAAAATCCTAACTTCAAAACAGCACTTCCTTCCTCCCCATCTCCAGGAAAGGTCTGTAACCAGGCACAGTAAAATAAAGCTGACGTTGTAAAACCAAAAATAAAGCTTGTCTTTTCAAGTCACATTAGTGGGTACACGAGAGTCAAAGCCCCTGTTTACCCCACACTCTGAAATAAAGACAGGTATTTCTGTCAGAAAATCCCAGCCATTGCCGACACCTTCCCTTCTCAGCACATACACTGGATATGAGTGGGTTGAAAAAAAAATAGGTCCTACTCCTGAAGCTAAGTATCACACCCATGACTGTAACAGCCACTTTCACTACTCTACAAACTTAGATTTTTAACTGTACCTGGGAGGGTCTCAAGGATCTCAGTAAATCCCAGAGAAATAAAAACAAATTTCTTCAATTACTTAAAAATTCAGAAAGAAAGCATTTTACAGACAGTATGTGATACAGCCACTAAAGAAATAATTCTCTGGAGAAATCACTGGATGCATCTTCAAAACCTAGCATCTTCCTGAAGAAAAAAAAAATCTGCTCCCAAAAGCAGTGCTCATGGCAGCGACACAGAACTTTGTAGTTGGTCTTAGAGAGCACAAAGAGAGCAGTTGCTTTATATTTTGCCCCCAAAACCAGCCAAATATACACTCACTAACCTACTCAAAGGAAAGATTACAAACAACATGTGTAAATCAGTTAATTGGATATGTATCTATATATAAAGAGTCTTATGGTTCATATGAAGAGCCAGAGAGCTTCTCCCTTCCTAGGATCATTGTAGCCAACTGTTACACCTCTTCCCCCACGCTTGCACAGCTTACTGCACGGAAAGCTCCCTGCAGTTCCCTGCTGATGTTTGCACAGCGGGGACTGAAAGAGTCAGTCACCTGAAAGAGGCGGTACCAGGTCACACCAAAGGGCCGGTCAGTCCAGCACCCCGCCAGCCACTGTTCGCAGATGCCTAGAGAGAGGCAGAAGGACAGCGCAATCCCGGCTGGAAGCTGGACAAAGGTGCAAGGGTGACCTCAGTGTTTCCTATGCAGGGAGTTCCAGACCTGCACAGGAGAGCTCCGTGTACCAACACAAGAGATACAAACACCAGACAAGTCAGGACAGACCATTTTAAGAAACGTTGTAATCTCATAGCTTTATCATCTAAAACCCACGATTAAAGTGAATGGCCACAGGACAAGAAAAAAGTCTGGCTAAATGGAACAGTACGAAGCAATTCTCCTGATCCGAAACCCACTCCATTTTAAAGAGTCATTGCATTTATAAAAGAATATAAGTGTTTGTCATTTCCATGTATAGAGAACACATTTACTCTCGTTTATTGTTCAGCTGAAGGAGTGATTATACACATCTCTGAAAGGCTTAATTCCAGCATTTACCTTAAGGTCAGCAATGCTACAATCCTACGGGTGCTGTAAAGTCAACCCTATGCCGTGCACAGGATGTTAGGCAGCAGGGGGATAAGAGACTCCGATTACTGAAATCTCCCTCTCTTCGTTCAGTATTTCCCGAAACTTGCATCACGGGGGTGATGGGTTTGCCCTTGGCTGTGGGCCAACCCACACACCCGTTCACTCAATCCCCCCCATCCGTGCATGGGGAAGAGAATTAAAGGGGTGAAGGGAAAAATGGACACGTGGGTTGAGATAAGAATGATTTAATAACTAAACTGCAATAATATTGGAAATAATCCTATATACCAATATACAAATGAGTGATACACAGTGACACTGCCCCCCACCCCATGACCAAGGCTCACCCTGTTCCCAGCTAACGATCCCGGAGCAGGGAGAGTCCCGAAACCGCACCCACAGAACAGAGAGAACAGTCCAAGCATCCCAGACCCAGAGCTGATCAGGGTTGGGGGGGAAGGCCTTGGGAGAGCGACCACCTGGAGCGAGATGACCCGGAGCAAAAAAGATCTGGAACCAAAAGGGACAATCTTCCGGAGGGTCCTCACCTCTATCCTGGGCATGATGGGTATGTTACGGAATAGATTATTGGCCACTCTGGGTCTCAGTCCCCAACCCAAGATCAAATCCTGGGCTGGTCACTGGGGCTGTGCTCCCTCCCAGCTTCTCCTGTTTGCAGACAGGCAGAGAAGCTGAAAGACCTTGGCAGCCGCGAAAACATCACTTTTTATCAGCTTTCCTCTGAGCACAAATCCAAACACAGCCTCTTGCTAGCTGTTATGAAAGTGAACTCTGTCTCAGCTTAACCCAGAACAATGGCCAAAGCTATGAACTTCCACGTGTACAAAACCCATGCACACACACTTTGTTCTTCACAGTTATTCTGCACCCTCAACTAATACCGAGGCTAGGAAACAGCAGGACAAAATAGGGAAATGTTAATATTAATTACCTATGATGATTAGAATTAGGTAGTCACGGTAATACCAACCACACTATCCTGGACATGCCTGGGGAGACCTGGGGGAAGTGAGAGAAGGCAAGAACAGTTTGACAAAGAAAAACAATTATTGGAGAGTACTGATGTCTGTCCTTTACAACACACTGACACACGGCTGTACAAAACAGCACAGCTCCGTCTGCACAAGAGCTGCTCTAAAACAGTGTTGCTTCAAGCAAGGCCCTAAGGAAGGGTTAAAAAAGGCAAATGAAATCTGAAAAGCAAGGATGAAGCACCCCTGACATTTAAAATAGAGGTCAGCCAGCTTCAGCGCTCTCAAGGCAGCTTCTGCAGCACTGAGAAACGCGCCCTGCACAGAGGGAGGTTCTTCAGGAGGACTGGAAAAATGTTGGGAAAAGCACAATGATATGAGCAGCACACGTTCATTAGGAAAAAAAAACTCAGTAAAACTTGTGTAAATTTTTTGTCCACAGTTTGATAACAGATCTTGAACACTAGCAGGATGAGACAAAGTTAAAATAAATTTTAATTTCTTTGTGCCTTAAAATAAAAAGGCAAGCCAGTATTGTTCAGGCTCCCAGATGGCTCTGCAACCAGAGTGAGCCATTACTCACACCACAGCTAAAAAAAAAGGCCTAAAAATAAAACAAAAACAATGAGGCACAACAAATATTAAATCCCAGAAGTGAAAGTTTCTCTTTTAGCTGTTCATAGGCAGTCAACCCAAAAACAAATGACTAATCTCAAAGTGTGAGGCAAGAGTACATTAAAACCTCATTTCACACTATAATTCGGTACCATAATTTTGCTTTAAAATAAGGTTATTAAATTACACAGCATCTTTAATAGCTTTTTAGGATACGCTGTACTGCTTGCCTGCAAAAATGGAATAACATGTAGTACATCACACAGCTTACAGTCCAGAGTTTTGCAAAAGCGAGGCAAGACTTTCCCAAAGCAATAGCGCAAACACTTATTTTCCCAATAGATTAACATGCGTTTTTGATTGAAGCTACTTATTTATCTCCTAGGGAACAAAAATGAGTCAGGCAAAATCACATCCAAATAACATTTTAATTTGCTCAGATCACACTCAGTTAACTAAAATGTCCTGCAATCAGAAAAGAAGAAAGGATGAAAAAAAAGTTACTATGAAAAAAAAAGTTACAAGCTAAAGAAGAAAATGTCAAAGCTTTCCACAGACGACCTGAAACTCCTGGGGCAACAGAAAGAAGGAATTTGACGAGGCTTAGTGTAAATTCAGCTGTGGTGATGATCTGTCTCACACTCTGGATTACACATTCAACAGCATTAGAAGACTGATCTCAAGACAGCTATTATCACAACCATCCGTGGCACAATCCTTACAAAAACTTCCCGCTTTTCATTTTTTCTGAGTCAGAGCTTCAAAGGCTATGGACCAGTTTAGCTTCTTGCAACACCCTGCGTGGGTACAAACACCGTTTACCCTCTACACTGAGAGTTTCCAAAGGTGCTGCAGTCAAGTGGGGCTCAAAGATAATGATAGTTTCCATTGTTGAAGTTTAATTTCAAGCAAATTTTCAAAAAACAGGGGGTTTGCTGTTCTGCTTTACAGGTAGGAAACAAAGTAATACATCTGAAAGTTCCATAAGTAGCTCTTATGAAGGTTCACTTTTCAAAGTGGAACAGTTGTGATGTTAAAACACACAACAGATTTTAATATGAGAGGCTGGGATTATGAAGAAGAAAGTCGTGTACACCTTCACGCAAAGCATATTTTCCTGAAGCATTACTATCACTGCACAGTCTCTATCAACGCTAATTTTCCTGTCACATGAAGCAAGAGGCACTGGGAGGGTGTATGAGGTGAGTCAAGCTACACACCATCCCACTGTATTCCTCAGTTCCAAGGAAATACCATCAATCCCCCCACGGATGCAGTTACGTGACACTGAGCTGAGAGGCTTACTAGCAGCCTTAAGTAGTTTATTGATGTATTAAAAAAATAACCGTAACAGAGCACTGCTCAGAAAAGAATTTCTCAAGCTTCTGAAGCCAAGCAAGGCAGCAGCGTGGTGTTAACACCAAATTCAATTCGCTTAGAAACACAAACTCAGAGCAACTGAAGTGGCTGCTCTTACCCGTTGCCTGGATCAGTACGTCACTAAACTCCGTTAATCACAGTGCAGAAGCCCAGCGTAAGCAAAACAGAAGTTCGCGGAGATCATCAACTACAGCGTTGGGACATTATTTTTAATATCCTCAAAAAAAAAAAAAAACCAAACAAAACCAAACCAAACAAAACCACAAGACTTCCTAAAGCTTCCTGTCTTAAGCAGGAATAAACCAGGCTGCATCATACAAAAACAGTAATTCCTTAATAAAAGCAATGCTCTGAGATATCACTGCATCCCCAACGGCTCTAACAAAGCAATTCAAATTCTTCTCACGGATTTAGTCATCTGAGGAGTGCACAGAATTTAGTGTGTCTTCTAAAGTCAAGCAGGACATGGATGTCACCGACACAAAATGAGCATTTCTTTCAGTATCCGAGCATGCCAAATCTCTGCACCAACAAGACTTTCTGGAAGAGCAGCTGAAGCACTTGCAGACAGCAGAGCAGCTCAGGGAACACAGGTCAGGGTAGGGACCTCAGCTAGTGCAGCGTCACTGCTGGAGGCACAGAGGGTGGGAGATGATGGCAAAGGCGCCGTGGGGAGCTCAGTGCCTGCAGCCTTACCCCACCAACACGACTTATGGTCTTTCCTAGGGTCCCCCAGCCACTCCAGAAGCACTGGTGGCTCGTCTGGTATCTATGCCCCAAAGGGTTCAGGGGCTGACTGCCAGGTGCAGTTTCTCCCTCACTGCCCTGGGAAGCTGAGCAGGGAACATCCCAAAGCCCTGGGTTCAGCTGGGACAGAGTGAACTCTCTCCCCAGCAGCTGGTGTGAGGCTGTGTTGGGGTTTGTGCTGGGGAGAAGCTGATCACACACTGATGGGCAGAGCTGCTGCCAGGACAGTCAAGGACTTTCCAGCTTCTCTGCTGCGCCCGTGTCTGCAGGGGCAGGAGGAGCTGGGAGGGAGCACAGCCCCAGTGACCAGCCCAGGATTCGCCCTCAGGTTTAGGACCGAGACCCAAACTGGCCAATGGTCTGTTCCATCCCATGCCCGGCATGGCTAGGGGAGAGATCTGGATCTGTTCGGAAATGCTCACTCTGTCTCTGGGTTGCCACCCTCTCTCAGTCAGCTCTCAGTCTCTTGGACACTCGGGCTCTTCTCTCATTTCAGATTGCAGTTTCAGGACTCTCTCTGCTCCAGGATCGTTAGCCAGGAACGAGCTGAGCCTTGGTCAGCAGGTGGTGAGCAGTATCTGTTGCATATTTGTATATATTACTAATATCATTATTATAATTATTATTTTCAGTTTTGTTGTAGATTAGTTATGAAACTGTTCTTACCTCACCCCACGAGCCTCTTCTCCCTTCACCCCTTTAATTCTCTCCCCCATCCCTGGGAGGGGGAAGGGTGAGTGAGCGGTTGCGTGGCATTTGTTTGCTGCCAG